ATATATATATATATATATATATATATATATATAATAAAGAAAACTATTGAACGAGAAATGTGTAATAACAATTATCTGTAAAACCATTTTTATTACTGAAAATAATATCATTTTTCAATTATGTACAAGCCGAGAAAAAAAAAAGAGAGAGAACAAGTTCTTAATCTAGTAAATAACAAAATATACAAACAGTTGAAAGTACTTTAAGTGCTACGTAAATGTTGGTGTCTAAACTGCTTTTTCAGTTCCATAATTAAGTAAACCACCAAAGTTACCAGTCTTGCTCGACTCATTATAAATCGTCTTCGGTACACGGTGGTACTAATAAACTGGGTATAACAGTATGACCATAAGACTTTTTTTCATCATCGTTGAAGACCATCAAAAAATCAACATCAAATGTTCGATAACTTTTTGGCAGGCGAAGTAGAACATCTTCACCGTAGAAGGAACGAAGCGGGCCGTATCTAAAAATTAGACTTTCATTTGTACGGTTTTTCAATGTAATTTTTTTAAAACGTTTTTAACTTAAAAAAAATTGTTACATTCTAGAGATTTTATTAGAAGTAAGACTGTTAAAAAATTTATGTGTAAAAAGTCTGGTAGACTTACGATTCACCAACAACAATTGCACGAATTGTTTCTTCAACGTTTTCAGGATACTGACCAACTCCAAAATAGAAGAATGTACCTATAATATATCCAAGTTAGATACCTCAACTCTGCAGTAACAATTACAAATAATGGAAAAATTCACTATGAAGCTTACGTTGAGGTGCTGAGGAGCTGTCGTATGAGAACTGTGGTATGAGAACCGTATTGCAATTAAGAATTTGGATGCGACGTGAAGTGACGTTATGCGAGCGATGCCGAAGCGAAGAAAGTTTTTCAGGACGAGGAGGATCAAGTTCTTCAATCGAAAGTACTGGCATTGTTTTCTGCAAAATTTTAAAATTTTTATTGATTTGAATAATAATTAGATCTGCCTTTCTTTATTAGGCTTAATCGTTTTCAACAAAATTTCGAATTCTTCAACTAAAAAATTAAGTTTAGGTTTTTTTAAGCGACCCATTTTCATAGTCGTTTAAAAAAAAAAGCGGAAACAAAAAAATCGATCTTTTCTTATTGAGATAAATATCAGGTAAAAAACTGATAAAAATCTAAACAAAAATTTTTTTACTTACTTTTTCACAACTGTCATAAACACCGATCCATTTAAAATTTGTCAATTTGGCACCATTTGTTAGCACAAAATTTGCAGAACCATGTGAGATTTCCGGAAGTATAAATTTATTTTCGAGTTTCTTCATACCACTTCTCTTTTTTGAAGGTTTTACTGTGGTTCCTGCTGTTTCCATTTGCTGTAACAATCGATCTTTTTCATCAAATGAATAAAACGATTAAATTTATTTTAAGTTTTGAATTTGAATATTTTAGTACTCTCAGTGAATCTCAGTGTCGAAACAACAGTTTTTTTACTGTGAGAATGGCTGCTGGTAATTCTGCCAAAGTTGTTGGTAATGCTGTCGAAGACTCCATAGCTGGTACCGTAGCTAAACCGAGTGTCATTGTATTTGTTACAGGTTGTTCTGGTGAAGTGTCGTGTTCGTTGAAAAACGAATCAGTAAGAAGAGAATCAGTTTCACTTTTGCCTTTAAATTTGAGTTTTTCATTTAGTTGTCAAATGCCATATTTATCAGAATAAACAAGAAAATAAATAAAAACTTTTAGAAATTGAAAATTTACGAAAATTCTTGTAAAAATCCTAAAATTAAAAGTTGGTAACACGGCAATACTTTCTGAGTACTACCACTACAGTTTTTGAGTCTAATCTTTATAACAAATACATATCACTTCTTGCTCAGTATTAACTGCTAATGCTTAAAATTTCTATTTCTTATTGTCTTGTGAAATTTAATAAAAGATTTTTGCAAAATATTTTTTTCTCTTGCAAATACAAACCAAATTTTTCTGTAATTTTGACTGTTTATTTATACGAATAAAATTAGACGCATAGTAAGAAATGTCTAACAAAAAAGCTTTTGTCAACAGAAATTATTTGTTGCCTAATTTCTAACGTTCAAACAGAATTGAACAAAAGTCTAATCAGAAATTCCTACAAAAAATAATGCCACCTTTGACCACTCAGTAAACTAAATCATCAATTAAAGTTTGACGATAAGTGCATTTATTGTAAAAAATTTTTAAAAAAACACTTTATTTAAGAAAAAAAAAGAAAAATATTATATTGAATAACCGACAACTAACCTTCATTACGAGCAAATTTAATTTTTTCCATTGGTTCTTCAACATTCTTATTGTTGTTAAATTGCTTAAACACAATATATTTTTAACAACCAAAACCAAAAAAGCTTCAACTAAATTAACTGCAAACAGAGATTGTTCTAGTCATTTTCATATTGCTTTCCTTGCAACTAACTTTATATAGACATCAAATTTTTATAACCATTGTATCGGTAAAAGAAATTTCATTAGTACAGTTTTCGTTTCGCAATACAACGTTAATATGGGACAGACTGACCTTTAGTGACTTAAGATTCTTCTTAGCTTGATAGCTGCGAGACCTTTCCTGTTTTTTTCGTTCTGTCAAATCCTTATCATAAATTTTTCCAGTGTCCGGATTGATCACAATAAGACCGAGATTGTTTTTAGAAGTCTCAAAATGTAGATTTTACCGGGAAAGTAAATGACTAAAAATTAGCACAAACTGTTGTAATTAGCCTACTTATAGTTTAATATAACAATTAGCTAAAATTTTAACAATTTAATAATTAAACGAGTTAACTTTGACGTCTCTAATAAAGTGAAGAAGTGATTTTGAAAATAAATCAAAACTAATATTAATTTGTAAGACAATAAATTTTACTAACTGGCCGTTGCTTTAATTATTGACTGGTGAGTAGTCCTAATTTAATAACAATCAAGAGCTGATGAACGACACTTATGTCTAAATTATTACCTGTTGTGTTGTCGTTTGAGATCGTTCCCTGTCCGTGTTAACGTTGTTCTGAGGCTCATTGTTTTCAAAGCCGAAATCAGCAAGGTTAATCTTGTTTTCTTCTCCAACACCTTCTTCTAGTACTAAACCTCTTACTTTACTGCTGGAATAAAAAGAGCATGTTAAAAACACCAGTTAATGTTGATGCTTCTTAGCAAAAGCAAACTGTTAATTTTCCTCTGAATTCTGCTAAATTTCTTTCCGCTTATTTTGAGCTGCGATTAGCCAAACCAAGCGGTTCTTAGCATTTTGAATAAGCAAAACCTACAGATGAAGTAAAACTGTGAACTATAGCTATTGCTTTCTACTGTCGCTGTTGTTGTCGTTGTTGTTGTTTTCAAAATTACTTTTAGCAATTTTCATTGCAGAAACGGCAAAGAAGTATATAAATTTACAAGTATTACCATGTTTGGAAAGAAATTTCAAAAATTTGATGTAAAGTTTTACTTTTGATATCGTAGGTAATTTTATATATTATAATATTATATTTGCACTTTTATTTATCTGTCATAAACTAGGAGTCATCACCTTATCAAATCGTTGTTAAACTTGTAGTTTTTATAAATCAAAAGTGAGAAAACAAGGGTAAAAAGTTTGTTTCAAAAAATATTTTAAAGCCGACTATTAAGGGGTAACGAGGCTATAAATTAATTAAAATACCCACTTTAAAAACTAACTTTTTATTAGACTTTGCAACAAGCTTTTCAGCGTTTTTAATGCCATCAAAACGTTCTGGCGATGAAGCTGTAAGAGATGACTGCGCTTCATAGTTTGCTTCACCTTCAGTTGCTGTAAGGACTTCGGCTGTTTCAGGTAACTCCATATGAGCAGGTTTATTGGAACTGTTTACGGCAAACTTAGCGGGCATTTCAGAATTGTCTTGCTCTCTGAAGAGTTACTTCATTTGTACAAATTACTAGCGCTATTGTACATTTCAATTTAGAAAAGCAACAGGAAGGAGCAAATGTCACCGATTTTCAACAACTGCACTTTCTCCATGCATTCGGCTTTTTTGTGTATTTTTGCTTGGCTTCTTTTTGTGATTTATAGTGGTATTGGTGCTTTCAGCTAAGGTATTTTGTTGTTGCTTTTTTGCTTTTGATGATGGTAATTTCCTAAAAAAAAAAACAAAAATAGTCTTGGTAGTTCAATTACCTTATTTAGTTTAGCTTATCAAAACTACGCTGTGTTGAAATGACGTACAAAATATAAATTTTTTGACGCTTACATTTCTGACTTGGCTTTCTGTTTTTTATTTGTCGAACTGTTTTTTGACTTTGTTTTTGCCTGCTGTTTGTCATTTTTACCACTTTTTAGTTCAGTCGCTTTTGCTGCCCTAAAAAAATTGATTTTTTTTCTTTCAAAAATAAAACTGTACAAAATTGAAACTATTAAAACAGAATTTCTTGACGAAAGAATTTTTGATGTTTTTGCATAAATGCCTACATTGAAGCCAAATTGTTTAGGTTTAAGAGAATACACGTTGAAAAAACAACAAGCTCTGCTATCTTTTTCTAAACGTTTTTTTCTTTTTATAAAATTCGATGGCTCTTTTACATCTTTCAACTTTGTAACTTTTTCAAAAATTTTAAGCTTTTGAGAAGCCATCCTGGTATGGAAAGTGTATTTCTTCGTGTTTTGCGTACCATATCTCGCGCAGCCAAAAATGTTTCAACTTTAAATTTTTAGCACAGTTTATGTCTTTTTTACTTTCTGCTTACTTTTTCAGTTTATGCATAATTTTGCTTAGTCTTAATATAAGTTTTCGAATCTAATTTTGTTTCTTTTTGCCACATTTAAAAAATGTATATACAAAAAATTAAATGAGACTTTCTTCAATGCCAATTTAAAACCAGTTTATCAATTTTATAAAATCAAAATGGGTAACTTACGACGAATCTGATTTATTGTTTGGTGGTATATAATTGGTAGAGTTTTCTGACTCTTCAATTAAAATTTCCTTACTGCTTATAGATAAATTTTTTTGATCACCAAGGTCCAACTTTATTCCAGCGAAGGGATCCACCACCGGCTTCATATCCTTTGTGTCTGAAAACTGTTCGTTTTATTTCGCTATTTTGCTGCTTTTTCTTCCTTCTTTCTCTTGTAATAATCCACAAAAAACTGTTTGTTTGCATTCTAACGATTATAATAAAAAGAAAAATTTTATTACTGTGCAGTCACATAGCATTTTTGCTCATGTGGAAAATTCAAAAAAGGATATGCAGCTTTTGAATGACTGATGTCATATGAGCAAAAATTAGCTTAATTTGTGACACTTCTATTTGTTCTTCTTCTTTTCTTTTTTTTTTTTTTTT